AATAAAAATCTAGTAAAGTCAAAAATTGCCATTGATTTAAAGGAGCTTTCTATAAATGGGACTATTTATCATCATGTCTATCTTTTACCTATTTCTCTCTTTATGTGTATATATTCATGTTTTCTTGAGATGTTATACTTGAGCATATAAGCTATTAAATATTTTGTGTGTGTTTTAAATAGAAGCCATACTCCAGCCCACCCCCCCAGGGCTCATAATTTTATGACTTATAAATATACAGGACTTGTTGGTGGGAGGACATTGACAATGTTCTAGGAACTGATAGAAGGCTGTGTGCTGAGCATAGTAGAGGGACAGTGCTGTGAGCTGATCATGGAGAGTTATACAAGATCCCATTCCCACTAAACTTTGGTAGGACATAGTGAAGAAGGTTGCATTTTATTCTGAGTACATGTTGAGCCATTAATTATTTTTAATTAAGAGCAATAGGATCAGATTTATGTTCACATGTATAAGAGATCTCAGGCTGGCTATTCTTCAGGAAATGGACTGCAGGGGCCAAGAGTCGTTTGGAGATGTTTTATTTGGTAGAGGCATAATGTGATGGGCCTACGCAGTGGCAGTGGAGTTGGAGAGAAACAATTGAGATTTATTTTGGAAGTTGAGCCAAGAGACTTGGGTAAGACCATGGTTAAGACAAGATAAGAGTTCCATTTAGGACAGGTCAGTTATGAGATGCCTAAGCAAGTCATGGCTGGAGGGATACATCTAGGAACCCTCAATAAAGAGGTAGTATCTTTAGCTTTTGTCGAAATTTAGAGGATTAACAGAGCCTTGCCATTGTGTGACAGCATTCATTTCTGAAAAGAGAGCAGTGGTGAGGGGGATAGGTTGTGATAACATGTATACACACAAACCTCCAGCTCTTTTTTTTTTTTATTGTGAAGTATTCTTTCCTGGTGTTTATTTCTGTTAATAAATACTCATTCAGCCAATATCATAGTGAATGGTGTAAAATTGAAAACATTTTCACTCAGATCAGGAATGAGGCAAGATTGCCTACCATCTCCCCTGCTTTTTAGCATTGTAATGGAAGTCTTAGCCATCGCATTCAGGCAAGAGAAAGCGATTAAGCCTATCTACATAGGGTCAGAGGAGATCAAACTCTCACTCTTCACTGATGATATGATCCTATACCTGAAAAATCCCAGGGACTCAACTTCAAAACTCTTAGAAGTGATCAAGGAAATACAGCAGTGTCTGAAGATACAAAATCAATACTTAAAAATCAGTAGCTTTTATATATGCCAATAATAGTCAAGCTGAAAATATAGTCAAGGACTCTATTCCTTTTATAGTAGTGCCAAAGAAGATGAATTTACCTAACAAAGGATGTGAAAGATCTTTATAAAGAGAACTATGAATCTCTGAGAAAAGAAATAGCTAAAGATGTTAACAAATGGAAAAACATACCAGGCTCATGGCTGGGAAGAATCAACATTGTTAAAATGTCCATACTATCCAAAGCAATCTATAGATTTAATGTATTCCCTATTAAAGCACCATTGTCATTCTTCAGATAACTTGAAAAAAAAATAGTACTTCCTTTTATATGGAATCAGAAAAAACCTGGACTAGCAAACACATTGCTCAGAAATAAGAACAAATCAGGAGGTATCATGTTACCAGACTTCAGGCTATACTATAAATCTATAGTGATCAAAACAGCATAGTACTGGCAACAAAAACAGAGAGGTAGATTTATGGAGCAGAATAGGGAACGAAGAGATGAACCCAGCTACTTATCGTCAGATGATCTTTGACAAGCCTATCAAAAACATTCAGTGGGGGAAAGACTCCCCATTTAACAAATGGTGCTGGCTGAACTGGCTGGTGACCTGTAGAAGACTGAAACTGGACTCCCACCTTTCACCATTAATAAAAATTGATTCTCTCTGGATAAAAGATTTAAACTTAAGACATGAAACTATAAAAATACTAGAAGAGAGTGCAGGGAAAACACTTGAAGAAATCAGCCTGGGAGAATATTTTATTAGGTGGACACCTCCCCTCCCCTGGCAATTGAAGCAACATCAAAAATACATTACTGGGAATCAAACTAAAAAGCTTTTGCACAGCGATGTACACAGTAAGTAAAGCAAACAGACAACCTTCAGAATGGGAGAAGATTTTTGTAGGTTATGCTTCCAACAGAGGTCTGATAACTGGAATCTACAGAGAACTCAAACTAGTCAATAAGAAAAGAACAAATAACTGCATTTCTATGTGGGCAAGAGACTTGAACAGAAACTTCTCTGATGAAGATAGGCCTACAAATATATGAAAAAATGCTCATCATCCTTAATCAGAGAAATGCAAATGAAAAGCCCTTTGAGATATCATCTTACTCCAGTAAGATTAGCCCTCATCACAAAATCCCAAAACTACAGATGTTGGCGTGGATATGGTAAGAAGGGAACACTCCTACACTGCTGGTGGGAATGCAAGCTAATACGACCTTTTTGGAAAGAAGTTTGGAAAACATTCAAGGAACTAAAAGTAGACTTACCGTTTGATCCCGCAATTCCTCTGCTAGGTATACACCCAGGTGATCAAAAATGATTTTACAACAAAGACATTTGCATCAGAATGTTTATTGCAGCCCAATTCATAATAGCCAAGACATGGTAACAGCCCAAGTGCCTGTCAACCTATGACTGGATTAACAAATTGTGGTATGTATACACCATAGAATACTATGCAGCCATAAAAAAGATGGAGACTTCACATCTTTTATGTTTACCTTAGTAAAGTATCTCAAGAATGGAGAAAAAAGTATCAACTTGGCACCTGTGGCTCAAGTGGCTAAGGCACCAGCCATATACACCTAAGGTGGCAGGTTCAAATCCAGCCCAGGCCTGCCAAAACAATAATGACGGCTGCAACCAAAAAAATAGCTGAACGTCGTGGCGGGCGCCTGTGGTCTCAGCTACTTGGGAGACTGAGGCAAGAGACTCGGCTTGAGCCCAGGAGTTGGAGGTTGCTATGAGCTGTGATGCCACGGTACTCTACCCAGGGGGATAGCTTGAGGCTCTGTCTCAAAAAAGAAAGAAAAAAGTATCTAGTGTACTCGATACTATGAAATCAACATATAATCACCTACACATTCATATGAATGGCAAAACAGAACTGTAGTCCAAAAAGTAGAAGGAAAGAAGAGAGAGGGGAGGGGGATTATGGGAGGATGGAGTGTATTTGGGGGGACCTCATCTAATGTGCGTGATGCAAAGGTACATTTCAAAACTATTAGGAAATGAGTATAATTGTGATGGATGTGTTACTTAGTACAATGTAAGCATTTCACATTGTATATCAAAGCAGTACACTAAACCCCATAAATTCATCAATGTACGAAGTTATATTTTAATAAAAAAAATGAAATATTCAGTAATAAGTTCCTTTACTAAATATTCAGCACAAAGAAAGAAAAGTTAGGCTTAATTAGGAAGATCTCTTGAGCCTAGGAGTTTGAAACCAGCCTGGACAACATAACAAGACCTTTTCTCTAAAAAAAAGAAAATAATGAAGATTATTAAAATTGAAGTTACTGAATTTAGCAACAATTTTTCTGTCATTGAGTAGGTATATGTGGGCTTTTTTTTCTTATCATTATGGCTAAATTTAAAGTCAAGTCCACATTGTGTCTTGAACCACTACTCACTTATTTAACGTTTATGATAAAATACGTACACACAAATCTGTTTGGTTCTACCTTTCATTCCCTTGAAAGCAACCTACCAAGAAGGACACAGCGGACTCCAGCTTATTGAGAGGGAGGAATTACTAGAATAGTGGTTTGAGTTCTGCTTCCATCCTAAAAGATTCAGTACCAAATAAACCGAATCAGAGTGTTTGTCATTGGAGGCTGCTGGACTCTAGTTCAAGAACCCAGTTCTATTTCTGTAAGCTACCTACTGCATCCAGCAACTTTCTCTTTCTGGCAGCATGATCTGGATCCAAACTAATGATTGTGAAGTATAAAAGGCTCCAGATAACATAGGTGGTCCCCATGCTCTCACAATTCCCTTACTTACAGAAATAACAGGCCAAAGCAAAACCGGGTGTGGTGGCTTACACCTGTAATCCTAGCAGTCTGGGAGGCCAAGGCAGGTGGATTACCTGAGCTCAGGAATTTGAGACCAGCCTGAGCCAGAGCAAGACCTCATCTCTACCAAAAAAAGCCAGGTGTCATGGTGGGCGCCTGTAGTCCCAGCTACTTGGGAGGCTGAGGCAAGATAATTGCTTGAGCTCAAGATTCGGAGGTTGCTATGAGCTACAATGCCACAGTACTCTACCAAGGGCCACAAAGTGAGACTTTGTCTCAATTAAAAAAAATAAATAAAGCTCAGCGCCTATGGCTCAAGTGCTAAGGCGCCAGCCACATACACCTGAGCTGGCAGGTTTGAATCCAGCCCAGGCCCTCCAAACAATAGTGATGGCTGCAACCAAAAAATAGCCGGGCGTTGTGGTGGAAGCCACTAGTCCCAGCTACTTGGGAGGCAAAGGCAGGAGAATCACTTGAGCCCAGGAGTTGGAGGTTGCTGTGAGGTGTGATATCACGGAACTCTACCCAAGGTGACAGCTTGAGGCTCTGTCTCAAAAAAAAAAATAAGTAAGTAAATAAAAAGAAAAAAATTGTTTTTAAAAGGCCAAAGCAAGATGCCTCATAACCCCTTTTCTACATAGAGGTACAAATAAAGGACTTTATTTTAAACTAGGTTTAAAAGAAAAATCATAATTTTCTATATTTTAATGACTAAAAATAGTCTCAACCTTTCCTGATGAGTCTCCCCGTGTTGTACCTTCCTTACAAGTTGTGACCGTATTCTGCTTTCACTAGGACACAGGTTGTGACATAGCTATCTTTGTGTACCTGTGATACCTGGTATAGTAATTGTATGCATAATAGTTTGTTACTAAATAAATAATATAGCAGCTTTCTCACTGAAAATTATAATGAAACAATTAGCTTTTCAGAAATGATTTACTTACAAATTCCATATTTAAATGCAGGGCAGAATCTAGACAGTATGCTCCATGGCACTGGGATGAAATCAGACTCCGATCAGAAAAAGTCAGAAAATGGAGTAACCTTAGCACCGGAGGATACTTTGCCTTTTTTAAAGTGCTACTGCTCAGGACACTGCCCAGATGATGCTATTAATAACACATGCATGTAAGTATTTTGTGCAGTCCTTCTTAAGAATTAGGAGAGTAAAGTTGCACTGAGTGCTATTTTAAGGTTATCTGAATGTTTTTATTCTCTGTGATATCTTCCCAAAGAACCAAAAAGCTTCTTGTTTTGTGTATAGGAACATAATTGCCATTAGTCAATACTTTATTAGATTTACATTATAGTAAAGCTTTTTAAAGAAGATAAAGGAAATCTAGTCTTTGTCTATCATTCTGAGTTTATTTAATGATCTTATCATAAAATTGTGCTAATTGTGGAAAACTTAAAGATTACTAAAAGAAGACAAAAAATTTACCTGTAACCTCCTACTTCTTAATTGGTTGGAATATTTTATGGATATATGAAAATGATGTTATGGTTTTGTATTCTTTTTTTTTTTTTTTATGAGACAGAGTCTCACTATGTTGTCGTCAGTAGAGAGCTGAGGGCTCACAGCAACCTCAAACTCTTGGGCTAAGGTGATTCTTTTGCCTCAGCCTCTTAAGTAGCTGGGACTACAGGCGCCTGCCACAACACTTGGCTATTTTTTAATGATGATTATTATTGTAGTTGTCATTGTTGTTTAGCAGGCCCAGGCCAGGGTCGAACCCATCCCCAGTGTATGTGGCTGGCACCATAACCAGTTATGGACACTGAGTTACGGACGCCGAGCCTTGTATTATTTTCTTGCCCCTGAACTTGCCAATCTAAATGCGATTTATATAATCTTAATTTCCCTACCAATTTTTATGTGAATTACTCTATGTGTTTACATGATGATCACATGATTCTATTCCATATTCTTTGGGAACATCGAAGAAATTGACTTACTAGACAAAAAAAGTGTTCTCTGTCTTTTGGCCAGAGACACTATCTTCCTGTAATTTGCCAAAATGACAAACACAAAGAGAAAGAGGAAAGGCACCCGATTTGTGTTCTCTAGGCCTTTTAGAGCACATGGAGTCGTTCCTTTAGCCACATACATGCCTACAAGAAAGGTGCTACTGTAGACATCAAGGAAATGGGTACTGTTCAGAAAGGCCACACAGGCTTGGCACCTGTAGCACAGTGGTTACAGAGCCAGCCACTGCCTACTAAACAACAATGACAACTGCAACAAAAAAAATAGCTGGCTGTTGTGGCAGGCACCTTTAGTCCAGGCTACTCGGGAGACTGAAGCAAGAGAATTGCTTAAGCCCAAGAGTTTGAGGTTGCTGTGAGCTATGATGCCACAGAACTCTACCAAAGGGGGACAAAGTGAGACTCTGGTTCAAAAAAAAAAAAAAAAAGCCACACAGATGTCACCATGGCAAAACCATAAGAGTCTACAGTGTTACCTAGCATGCTGTTGGCATTGTTATAAACAAACAAGGTAAGGGCAAGATTCTAAGCAAGTGGATTAATATTCATATTGAACAGCTCTTTGTTATAACCCAGCCCATTTCCATGCCCCCCCCCACCCCCTCCCCGTGGCAGAGAACATGCTTCTCAGGAATAGAACTGTAACCATTGTTACCCAAATTGTAACTATTGAAACCATTGCTACCATAACCACTGCCACCCAAGCTGTAACCATTGATACCTAAACTGTAAACCCAAACTGTAACCCTCCTGACGGTGCCCTGCCTACACTTCGGGGCTGCTTGTCTTAGGACAACGGCCCCCTGCACAGGTGAGAATAAATCACAATAATTTCCATCAGTCTGAGTCCAAGTCCATTTTTTCCAAGTCCTTTAAGTTATTTCACTCTTTAGTATCTTAAGAGTGAGATAGCTTCCTGAAATGTGTGAAGAAAAATGATCATAAAAAAGAAGGAAGCCAGTCTCGCCACCTGTATCTCAGCAGCTAGGGCACCAGCTACATACACTGGACCTGGTGGGTTTGAACCTAAACAACAATGATAACTACAACCAAAAAATATCCAGGCGTTGCGGCGGGTGCCTGTAGTCCCAGCTACTTGGGAGGCTGAGGTAAGAGAATCACGTAAGCCCAAGAGTTGGAGTTTGCTGTGATCTGTGATGCCATGGCACACTACCAAGGGTGACATAGTGAGACTCTGTCTCAAAAAAAAAAACAAAAAACAAAGCCAAAGAGAAAGATGCCTGGGTTTAACTGAAGGGCCAGCCTTCTCTACCCAGAGAATCATACTCTGTGAGAACCAGTGGAAAGGAGCCTGAGCTTCTTCTGAAACTTATTCCCTATGGATTCATGGCATAATAAGTATAAAAAATAAAAGGCTACTGTTAAAAAAAATTATCCCCTGATCAGTCTCATCAGTTAATTAATTGTCTCCCTGTTAATAAAGTTAATAACGAATATCATGGTTTGTACTTTCAAGATAATTTTATGTTCTTTGAATGGAACAGATTTAAAGCATAGAACTTTACAAGTAAAATCTTGAGATCATATGATAATTCATGTCTTAGATTTGCTGTTTGTCTTCTGGTTGTTTACACTGTGTGGCAGACGGTGGACTAATTTTCCCTTTACACCTTCTTGGGTATGTGATCTCTAAGGGAGTGCCCCACTATGTCACCAAACATTGTGTCTGCAATATCTGCCTGATAATGATGGGTTTAAATGTTGATGGCTTAGTAACACAAAGTCAAAACGAATCTTTACTTTTAACGAAATTTTGCTCCACACTTAACATTTTCTCCTAATACAAAGTGATGATGTTGCCAGGTGTAATGGCTCATGCCAGTGTAGTTCCAGCACTGTGAGAGGCTGAAGCAGGAAAATCACGTGAGCCCAGGAGATCAAGATGAGCCTGGGCAACATAATGAGACACTGTCTTTATCCCCCCCCCTCAAAAAAAAAGATAAGGAAGAATTCTGCAAAATTTTTTTTTTTTTTGAGACAGAGTCTCAAGCTGTTGCTTTGGGTAGAGTGCTGGGGCATCATAACTCATAGCAACCTCAAAATCTTGGGCTTAAGTGATTCTCTTGCCTCAGCCTCCCAAGTAGCTGGGACTACAGGCACCACAACGCCCGGCTATTTTTTGGTTGCAGTTGGCATCGTTGCTCAGCAGACCCAGGGCGGGTTCAGACCCTCCAACCTAAGTGTTTGTGGCTGGTGCCCCTGCTGACAGAGCTATGGGCACTGCCCCAAAATTCTTTTACATACAATCAGCACACTGATATTAACAAAAAATAGGAGCACAGAAATAGCTTTTAGAAGTTTCTTCTGGATGGCACCTGTGGCTCAAAGGAATAGGGTGCCGGCCCCATGTGCCGGAGGTGGTGGGTTCAAACCCATCCCCGGCCAAAAACTGTGCAAAAAAAAAAAGTTTAGAAGTTTCTTCTATAGCTATTGAAGTCTAAAAGAACATATCCTAAGCTTTCCCAGGATATTAACACTAAAATGATAAAATTTCATTAAATACCAATATATTTATGTAAATATTGAAAATTCAACATTCATAAGTTTTCCCTGTTTTCCTGTCGCAATCAATAAAATATTCTTTCAGAATTTTGATTAGGCTTGGTGACTGTAGTTCAGACTGTAGTTCAGACTGTAGGGTGCCAGCCATATACACCAGAGCTAGTGGGTTTGAACCCCTTCCAGGGCCTGCCAAACAACAACAACTGCAATTTAAAAAAATAGCCAGGCGTTGTGGCAGGCACCTGTAGTCCCAGCTACTTGGGAGGCTGAGGCAAGAGAATCGTTTAAGTCCAAGAGTTGGAGGTTGCTGCGAGTTGCCCCGGCACTCTACCAAAGGGTAACATAGTAAGACTTTGTCTCAAAAAAAAAAAAAAAAA